TGGCACAGAGCAGAGGAGAACGCATCAGATGTACGCTACGCTCACGGGTCCCTCCCGCCAATAACACATTGCTGTCTTTCATATTTCCTGTCTTTTATTTTGTTCATTATTGTTAAATTCTGTGTTTATGTTTGTGTGTGACAGACGCATGGGACAATTACCAAAATACGGAACAAACCACATCCCGGGGACGCAACTTTCAATTTCTAAATAATAATAAAAATGTTTTTATGAGATGGGTAGCTTAGGCAAAGGCGACAAAGCATCTACTGTAGAACATCATATCTACAGTAAAGCAGGCTGGTAGCAACAATCAACGGGCTTTTTTTTCCAGGTGGAACTGGAGCTTCTTTTTGAAAAAAAAACTCCTAAATGTTCAGAAAAGCCTACTAGAACCTCTGAACTTCTAAACACAGCTGTGCACATGTGGGCAACCACAATAATTTCTTTCTTTTGTTTTTTTTAAAGACTGATTTTTAGATCCTCTTTTGAAAATATTTTGTTGTTTTTGTTGTTGTATGGTTTAGAGGTCAAAATAATGTTGGGAAAAGTTTTTTGTCAGAGGAGGTAATTTGTCATCTATTTATTATTATTATTTTTTTTAATGAACAAAATCTTCCATTGGAAAAGGGATGTTTAGACTTTGGATGTGCAATATATTCACGCATGATTTCTTTGTGTGTGTGTGTGTGTGTGGGGGGGGGGGTTGTATGTGATGAAGCTACAAAAATCTGAAGAAAACCCCCCAAACATCATCTTTAATGTCTTTCTGTGATTTATATGACATTTTGAGGGAAAGGTTCTTGATCCAGGGCGCCAAACAAATTCAAGGACCGGACATTTTAAAGTGAAACGATTTGGTGTGATTCAAAGCACTCACATCTTTTAAATAAAAATCGATTTCCCTGTTCAAATTGATTTTTTTTTTTTTTGCATTACTACAACATAGCAATAGCATTTAGCATTGGCCAAAGATTGAAACAACCACCGGGCACCTGATTGACTGGCGATGTTCGTACTTTTGCTGCTCTTCTTCGTTGGTGTGTCGCTGAAGAGGCAGCTCCGTTCGTGGCATTCTGTGAAAAATGTGAGGCGAGGCCTGATTTCACCTTCGGTTGTGGACGTACATTGCAGTGGGCAACTTTCGCAAGAGTGCTGACGGATGAACTTTTCTCGCATCCTCCCTGCCCTCCTTTTCATGTGCAGTAAGCAGCTTCCTCTAACCTGTCATTATTTGTACGGTACTCTTCTTCAACAGCTGTTGCTTCTCCTGGAAGCATTTTACAGAGAGGAAGAGTGCCAGTCTGGTGTCGTCGGCAGATGGCGGCGGGCCCCGCGGACATATGGAGACTCAAACGCTGCTTCATCTCAGGGGGAAATATGCATTCTTTCTCTGCAAAAAGAATCAGCTCGGCTCCGGTATATGACATGAGGGGAGCGGCCGAGATGGTGTGTCGCGGATGCGCCCCTCGTCCGTATGTTAAAGACGTTGCCCTACTTTCGGAATTGTTGGCGTGCTAAAGTTCAAGGATATTAGCAAGCACCTGCTTTTGTATTTTTCATGTTGACGTTTTCTCACACGTAAGATAATAAAAGTTAGAGGAAGAGTTTTGCCGTGTTTGTTGTGATAGAAAACAGCCGGTATCTTTTCTCTACCCTGTGATTTGCTCATGGGGTCACCCCGCTTTCCCAGCATGCACTTGTTGCCTTTCTCCTGCATTGGGCATGTGGAGACACTTTGCAATTTGTCAATAGAAAATTGACTGTCATGATTTTTTTTCTCCTTTTTCTCCCTTAAGGGGACAAATGTGTGCCTCGAGTGATTGATGGGTCTGGTGGCGCGGGATCCAGCCGCAGCTTGCAGTCGGCCTACAGGGATAAATAACAAGAAGCCAACATTCATCCATCATATAGGGACATTTCAGGCCAGTCTTCACTCTCTCATCTGCACAAACCTTTTCAGTCCCCGGGAAGAAAAAGAAAAATGTTTTGTGAATTTACACGCCAGGTGCTCTAAACTGGCCGCGTCAAAGTCCCTGTCTTGTCAGACATTTTTGACCTCACGCGTGTGCACTCAAAGCTTGCAACAAGGTGCTCCAATGCCAGCCCAAATCCGCGATCCTCATACTGCTTGGCAAGTTGGACTTTTTGTTTCAAAATCACCTCCGCTCTTCTGCTTTGTGTGTGACACTTGACTGACAACAAGGCACTCTAAAGTGGCCACATCAGCAGATTACTCAAGGGAAACCACATATTCCGGGTGTATAGGCAACTTGGATATCATGTCTGTGTTGGAAAACCACTGATGCCAATGAAGGTGCTCAAGTTCTTCATGACACGGCTCAATTTGGGCTGGGGCCAAAAAAAATCAAGAAAACTGACACGGTGAAAGACAGTTGAATACTTTGTCCACAGCTGAGCACCATACGTTGGTCTGGAATATTTTCACGATTTAAGCCATGCGATAAATTTGGAAACAAAATGAATTCACTTTAAGGGGTCTTTAACAATCAAAGACTGGCACAAACACACAAAAAGTATGGGGAGCCAAAGTTGAGAGGAAATCTGAAGTCAGCACACATCCGTGACTCATTTCCTCAGCTGGAAAAGCAGCGATGCCTCCTACCAGGGGTGAAGCAAAGATCCCGAACCCATTTTGACTGCGCGTAGGTCACGTGTGGCCAGAGGCCAACAGGAGACGAGGACACTGCTTATATACTCAGTGTTCGGATCAGTCAAGATCATCAAGGGGTGTGTGTTTCAAAGGTTTGAGTTCAAGCTTTTTTTTTTTTTTTTTTTTTTTTTTAATGGTTTGCGTGCAGGAACTGCCCCCTGCCTTATTGACCTTTTCCGCACTGACACACCTCATTGCCTCATATGTTTATTTAGTTTTTCTGTGTGCCACACTGTGCCACAGCCTCCAACAAAAAGTCATGCTATCCTTTTTTTTTACCTCTTAAAGGAGGTAGCACGGTAGATTAGCGGTTAGCACGCCTGCATCACAGTTTTGAGTTTGAATCTCGACTCCAGCCTTCCTGTGTGTACGCGGACAAAATATTCCTGCGCCTGTGTGGGTGTTTTTGCGAGCACCCCGGCTTCCTCACTCATTCCAAAGACATGCTTCTTGATCTGCATACTCCCTCTAGTGGTATGTGAAAGAATCACTCAATTGAATGTTGAAATTGTGCCGATTGCGACCGTGGCTTCAACTTAAAAAAAACACTTGTTTGGGTACATTTTGCATTTTTCTTTTGTGTGGTCATGCCGCCAAAACCACTACTCTTCAGAAAATCCCCCAAATGTGATTTTTTTTTTTTTACTGAACACCGCATCATTCAATTTGGTACCGGTCGCTGTCATGTACTGTTATGCACCAACATCAACATGACATCAGAGTTTTATGACACTTAGACAGTTTTCATGAATGAATGCATGATATAGTTTGTTTCAAATACCAAATACATAAGTAGAAGAACAAAATCAAATTGAAAAAAAAGACACATAGTATTGTTCAATTGGTTTAAGTTTTTCCATTCAACTCACGTACTATGAACAATGATTCCCATTAGTTTGTTCCACAAAAGAAATAACAAACCTAGTGTGCCTCTAGTGCTGGAACAACCATACCCCTAAAACAAATATTCTTGCCCCGATTCCAATGAAATACAGATTCTTTGTGTACGGTAGTTTTTTAAAAAAAAAAGATTTATTCATTCATTTGTGTTGTTTCAACTCATCATCCAGCAGTTCAAGTGTCAAAGATATTTTCAACACTTTAGATCGGCTAAGAGTGATCACAATACCGTTTAATAATGCAAAAAATAACAGACGACCTATTGAGTTGTGAGAAAAAATTAAATTGACCAGATGTGGCCTACGGGATTCCCACTGACAGTGAGGAGATGCAAATTATCGGTTAATTGAATCGGCGATAGAAACGGTAATCTATGCCTTCATTGGATTTTGGTGTGATTATTGCACTGCACTTTACTTTTGAGTGAGCTAGTCCTCCCTCAAATGTCTCCAGTCGCTTGCCTCTTCACTGGAACATGAAAGAGGGAGCACACAATTCAGGTCGTCACCTCCCTTCACCGGCTGCCTGTGCACTTTAGAGTCCATTTTAAGATTCTGCTATTTGTCTTCAAATGTCGAAATGGTCTCGCCCCTGCCCGGTGACTCAGATCAGCTGACCAGCTGCTCCTGGAGGTACCAAAGTCTAAGCAGAAGCTTAGAGAGGATAAATAGAGCTGTTTCCATCCATGGCTGGTCCGAAACTGTGGAATGCCCTCCCAAGTGCACATCAGGCAAAGACCCTCATTACCCATTTTTAAAACCTATCTCAAAATTAATTTATATGAATATAACACAACTTGAGACTCTGGCGTTGTATTTATTTGTATTAATTTGTCTTTGTAGTTTCGAAATTAAGTTTCAAGGTCTTGTGTTGGATTTTTATATTTGTTTATAAGCAGGCACTCTGAGCTGAATGCTATCCCCCCCCCCCAAAAAAAAAGCAACAGGACATGCTAATGGTTATATACATTGTTTACAGTATACAGTATACAGTGTTAGTATTCAAACTGTGCATAATCTTACAGTGATTATATCAAAAGTATGAAACATCTTTACTTTCTTCACTTGGTCCTACGCTCGGTATATTTAGGTGTTGGTTGTAAACCATTTGAGAGTCTGCACGCCTGCTTTTCACTTCGGCTCTATGAACAAAGATGGACACATCGCGCCTTCACCCCACCCTGCCTTCTTCTTTTGTCACCGTTGTCATGCACGCGGGAGCCAGCCGCTGTGGAATCCTGGGAATTCTTTTTTTTTTTCTTTTTCTCGACCTGGTTTGCAAAGTAACGGTGACCAAGAAGTGCATCACTCAGAGAACGGCCGTGCATGAATATAAAACAGCAGCCTCACTAAATTATTAACTTTTCCAATAGACAAGTGTTGAGGTGACATTTTGTTTTTGCAGGAGGCATGACCACTGATGCGTTCAAGTGCAGCAGCAGCAGGAGCAGGGACGTACGGGGTTAATCCGACCCATATGCTGCACTGGGAGGTTGGGTCCACCACTACAGGGAAGACTGCGTGAGGCTGGCAGGCTGGGAGGGAGCACAGCAGAAGGGAGAGGACAGTGGGACTCAACACACACACACACGCACACACTTTCAAACCAACACCTGCACCTGGTCGCTCCATTTCCGCTCACAGAAGTCTTTCTCGTCCACCAGCGTGACGTGGAGGGAGTCCTATCATCCACGCGGATGGCTTCGTAAACTTTGCCAAAGCGATTTTATTCCTCTTATGGGGACCAAAAGTCGACTCATCGCGACTGGTTGCTCGCTCTTCTACTTTTTCTTCGTGGGTGCCAAGAATAATCATTTAAAAAAACGGATTATTTCCCCACGCGGTGTGATTTTTTTCCCTGGAACGACGCGCGGGGGAATGTGGCTGTGATAACTTTTTGCATCGTGGATATCAAAGGTAGGACTTTTTGGGGTTTAACTTTTAACAGGCCTTTGGTTACTTTAAATGTGCGTGTGCGTGCGTGTGTGTGTGTGTGTGGTGACTGACTGAACATTCTTGCTCTATCGGGTTGCTATTTCTGGATGGTTTGACTTGACAGGTAAACTGCACCCATGTGCGGTCAGAGCTCGTCCTCTAATTATTTGATGGACTCCAAACCTCACTATGGTATATTATTACCAGAGATGGCCCCAATCTGTCCTGTAGTCAACACCCAGCTGTCAAAACCACAGCAAACACACACACACACACACACACACACACACACACACACACACACACACACACACACACACACACACACACACAAAACGATGGAGGCCCGTTTATTTTTTCTCCACGAAGTGTTCTTAAAACAAAAGCTGTGTTTGTACATGTACATTTGAGTCAAAATGTAGACGTAAAATGTGCCGTGACAGATTTGTATTTATAGTTTGTGTTTCCTGGAGGTCTTTTTGAAGTGGTGATTATTTTAAAGTGGCAAGTACTGTACTGTGTGTTTGACGTAACATCGTTTCTGGGGTATTATTATTAGCACATACTCCATGCGACATAGGCATGGGATCCCCGTTCTGTTGGGCGGGTTGTAACTGGGAAGGTAAATTCCCTGTGTGTTTTACATACCTGGCTAATAAATCTGATTCTGATTGAGTCATGAGTATTGCCCAAATAGTTGATCAAACAGTTGAGTCCAAAGCCTAACCCGAACCAAACTAGTAGGGGAGACTGTGACATGATGCCACACTTTCGCACTCTTACATATTTCTTGGTATCAGTACATCATACATAAACAAAATGTGTACCAGATGAAAAGCCAAAGTCTCAGGTCTATAGCATATTTTGGATTCATGTCATTTTCATATTTTATCAGTGCAATAAAAGTTCTGAGCAATCAAATCAAGAGAGTTCATGTGACATTTTGTCCCACAATAGAAGAAGTTTCACTACATGGGATAAAATGTCACGCTGGATTTTGCAACCAATAAAACAAAAATAAAATGATTGCTGTTCTCATTTTATGTGAACGTGAACATTGAAATCAGTCACAGACAATGTTTCTCATTGACCTTGAAAATTTCCTTGAACATAGCCACACTGAGCAAATTATAAAATATTAGGCACGTGCACTGGCTTAAAGTCCTTAGGGCCCGATGGCACGCAGGCCATGGCTCTCAGCCTCAAATGCCTGTTTCAACTTTCTTAAATGGAAAAATCATGAATTCATCCTGAAACTTAAAGGGATCTTCCTGCCAAGATGGTTCATTTTTCACTAACAAGCTTAATTTATCCATTTTTATTATTATTTTCATCGAGAACATCATATTCGCTGGGGGCGGCACAGTGGGTGACTGCTTAGCATGGACTGCACGTCTGCCTCACAGTGCAGAGGTGCAGTGTTCGATTCCGGCTCTGACCTTGCGTGGAGTTTACATGTTCTCCCCGTGCCTGCGTGGGTTTTCTCTGGGTACTCCGGTTTCCTCCCACATTCCACAAACACGCATGGCAGGCTGATTGAACACTTTAAATTGTCCCTAGCTGTGATTGTGAGTGCGAATGGTTATTTGGCTGGCAACTGGTTCAGGGTGTCCCCCGCCTACTGCTCGAAGACAGCTGGGAAAGGCTCCAGCACGCCCGCGACCCTTGTGAGGATAAGCAGATCAGAAAATGGATGGATGGATATGAGCTAGACTTTAAAAACAACCCCTGTCAATGAGCAATATAGCCCCACGCCCCTCCCCCGCCTCCACATCTTGCTGGGAGTCACGAGAAGGACAGGAGATTTTTTATCCATTCAAAATCATTGTTAATACATTGCTAATATTGTCAAAATAATGGGGATTGAACCCCTCCTCAATGGGATACTCCCACTTCCGCCTATATGAGGTGCTTAAAATGGCCACTGTCAGCTGAAGGGTCAGCCTCGTCGCTGAAAGGACGGTGCTCCGAATCTTTCCAAGTCCAATTTTGAAATTGATCTCATTCTGCCCTGTTTTGCCGAATTCTGACTGGACAAGCCACAGGAGCTAGCGGGAGCGAACAACCATGCTGCCTGCCTGTCCAGGAAACAATACTTATTGCATTGCTTACCTCCCCGCTGTGATATGGACAGGCTGAGATGGAAGACAAGTCCAGCTTCAAAAGTGGGTAGGCCAATTTCTGATTAATCTCATACCAAAAAAAGCGCTAAAATCACTCAGAAATTTTGAGGAGGATGGATTTTAGTGATGACATAATTTTTACATACGGACCTATTATATAAGTGCCAATGTTCAGCCAACTCAAGTCTTCCTGGAAACCAGTCAACAACAGGAAGATCCATTTCTAAACACTCAAACAAAATCGGATAAATGTCCTCACTTGTCAGACTCATCATCCGAATGGCAATTTTGGCACACGTCAACAAAGTTGCCAGGGGTGTCAGGGTTTCATTGGCCCATTCTTTGCAGATGAGACAACTAACCCCAAAATGACTTGAGCTGTGTTTGTAAATACTAGCTTTAAATTAGCTTGAAACAGAACAATGATCAAGGCATGACTAAATACCTTTAACCTCTCCTCTCACAAGACCAGATGTATCACTGCAAGGATTTTTAAAAATATAGCAGGATGATGCTTGTTTTTAAAAATGTAAAGACAATTTTTTTCCGATGGATTGTGCAAAATAGTTAATTGGCTCTCGTCTCATCTCATAATTTGGTATTCTTCTCCGCCATTCTGAGGTCAGTTGCCGCTGATCGGAGCCTATTCAGGCTAACGGCGTTTGGGCCAGCTAAACTTAGGCTAATTCTGATTCATGTCCCTTTATCCAGTCAAGCATGCGAGTTTTATATATATATATATATATATATATATATATATATATATACACACACACACACACACACACA